GAAAACGAAATACGTAAACAGAAGTGCTTTACATAAAGAAGCTCTCTGAAAAGCAAAGTAGATGCTATTTATGTAAAGTCCAGTTTCCTGAAGCTACTGTTTTGCTTACATGAGTCCAACACTGAATTTATAGTGATTCAAATACCTGGCCTTTCTAGTTTTGCAAGTTGCATTTTAAACCCAATGTTAAGATAGGATTATAGTAGAAAACATCAACTGAAAATTCCAGAAGTTAATAAATATTCAGATGTCCTGATTTTAGGTTCAATCAATTTTTTTTTTTCCAGTTACATATTTCTCCAAGAATTTATATTGGCTTTGTGAAACTAGAAACTTTTCAGATATGTAAATCAATCTTAGACTTACTGTGCAGTATTCTTCAAATTAAATTACAGTACAGATATCAGATTCTAGCAGTTCTTTTGCTGCAATGAGATAATTTCTGGAGGCAAGACACCTGGCCGGGATAGAGTGGTGATTAATTTTATGTGTTTAGGGTGCAATCATCACTCAGAAAAAGGCTTAGGGTTTGGATGATGGATGACGGGTAAAGTGCAGGCTGATAGGACATGGCCCATGAATCTGTTCTACATCATCAGTTCCTTTGATCACTGGCAGAAGTTCAGAGATACTTCTTTGCATCTGTCCAAAATAAACAAGGCTACCATATACCTTTTGCAAGATCACTTTTAAACGCAGGTTTATTTGTGGGGGAGAAATCACCTTTATTTTTTTCCACAATGGCTGAGGGAAATAAAAACAAACTCTAATGTCTTGCATTTACATGCACTTTTACAGGCAAAAATATGTTGAGTGTGTGTGCGTCCATGTCCATACATATATATATATATATTTTAATGAAAGATGATAGTGTAAAAGCAATTTTTTTCCCTTGCCAACTGATACCTGTGTTGACACCACAGAGGGGATTCAGCATAGCTGCTGAAAAACAGTGTTACACAGCCTGTCATGAGAAGAAAGCCCGAAGTTATAGCAATGTTATGCAGCATTTCTTCTTCATTAGTAATGGTGGTGTGACTACAAATTGTTGGGAATCTTTCTCACTAGTGATAGCAAAATGAACTGTGTAACCAAAATAATTTTGATTAATAATACAGAAGAGTTAAAGGATGAAGAGATGGAGGGGATTTGTAAAATCAAATTTTTTTTTTTGTATCTCAAGTAATTTGATAATTGGAAGCAAATGCTTCTTTATCATATGATTTCTACTTTTCTTTACCCAATGCTGTCCCCTGCAGGGTGTAAGAAATCAGATCGCAGAAGTACTCAGAGGCTAAAAATTTTTTTTATTTTTTTTTATTTTTTTTAATCCAGGAGTAAGAGAGGAATAGCTGAATTAACATCATGTTCTCTATCAGAATTCATTATCAAGCCAGCATGGTTTATGAAAAATCCTTTCAGAAGCTTGACTGGGTGCTGTGATGGGCATTCCTTGAAAATATTCTCTTATATCTCATGGAATATGTGCAACACTTCTTTCCACAGGTGCTATGAATTCCTAGTGCTCATGTTGATATTCTGTCTGTGGGAAATAAGATGTTAAAGCATTTCTTTTATATGTCTCATCAGCTGCACTTGGACAAGAAAATCAAACAGAACACATAAATTATAAAATACCTCTCAATGGACTTGCTTACCATTTTATAGACTGAGAAGTAAAGGGTATTGAAGACTGCTCTGTATATGTAGAAAATACTAAGCTACTACTCTACTTAAAAGATAGGTGACCCTCATAAAAGAATTACAACTCATCTCAAAAAGGACATTAAAAAAAGTAAAGGGAAGCATAAAGGTGGAGAGCTGATTAGATTTCATTAATAAGATCATCTTTGTACCAGACAAAAACAAAACATGGAGCTTAAAAAACACCTCTGGGAGCATTTGTTATCACATAGGAATCATACTCACATGATTGCTGTCTCCTTACTCAGCTGGAAAACTGCTTTATCTGACTAAGTGCAAATACTGAAATGTTCATTAGCTCTCTTGAAACACCTTGACTTGTCTTTATTGAGTTGCATTTCATCCATAGCCTTTGCACCCGGGGGCACACAATAAATTTTTCTTCACAAAGGGTTTCTCAAGAGTGGTATGACTGTTCCTTTTCTCCCCAGAGTCTGAACGCATTGCATCATCTTCTATCATATTTACAAGCCTGGGGCCCAGGATGAAGAATTGTTTAGTATCTCCAAACCAAAGCTTGCCACGTAGCAGATCAAATTGTTGTTGCTCTGCCACTGAGCTGACTCAGAACTTGCTTGTTTGATTTAAGGCACAGCTCCACTGTGAAAAGTTATTGTAAAAATGGTATTTTCTTCTGCAGCAGAGCTAGTTCCCATGTGTATGAAGAATTATATGTGCTGACTCAAATGACAAAACATAAGTATTTACTGATTCTGGTATTGCCAGCTCTGCAGAGCAAAGACAGAGGAGAGAAAGCAGGTTAGGGTCCATTTAATGTGTATCCATTTATACTCCTTTCCAGGACTCTGTGTGTTTAGTCTTTGCAAATTCAGGGAGAACAACTGCATACCAGAGCTGTTTTTAGAAGTATAATTTGGCCTCTATTACTGGTAAGTGGCCATAGAAAGGAAGCATTTTGGTCTTTCAGATAGTGAGGAATGTGGAAGCACCACAGACAAAAAAACATAATGAAATTGTAATTTGAGACAGAGTAGATCAATACTTTATACTTTTCATACCATATTTTACCTATGGTGATCTGCAGAGTTTGTGGCTGCAGATTATTTTGTGCCATTCTGGGTTTGTAAACTTTTCTCTTGGATTAACATAATCTCTTACTATTCAGATGTAGTGGGAAAATATTTCTGCTTTTGCCATTATTTACCACTTCTTTTAGAATAAAACAGAGTACGAATTTCTTTGTATTATCCAGCCAGCTATCATGTCATACTTTCAGAGCTAATTTTTGCCTCGATGTCACAGTCTATTAGTGCACAGAGCTGCCCTTCAGTGACTCTGCTCTGTCCCCACTGAGCCAGTCTAAGGGCTGGTGTGGGCTTCCTCCTTTGGCTGTCTTACAGTCAGTATGTGAAGCTATGAAGGGCATTCATAAGGAATTACTGAATTCATAAGGTTGAGGTTGGTTTCAGCATCTTCACAGTGTCTGGCTATATTGCTTTAGCTTGTCTAATCCAGGGGGAGAAGTTGTGTCTCTGTTTCAAAGTGACACTGAAGCTTGCATGAGAATGACTTGGACTTGTGTTCTGTCAAAAAAGGAAGTGTTTAGAGTAAACAATGCAGCAAGAAGTTTTTCTTGAATATTTTAGCTACTTAAAAGCAAAATTTTAGCCATTGTCTTAAATTCCCAGCAGCTACTGGATGATCAGATTGCCGGCAATGTCTGCTGGTTACTTTTGCAGTCTTTGTATTGGAATTGTCACCTTTTCAGAGCAGTTTGTATGACTATATTTTAAGTCCAGTTGAACAGAAATCACTGGG